CTCCCTGCTGAGCAGGGAGCCCGATGTGGGGCTCGATCCCAGGACTCCAGGATCATGACCTGAGCCGAAGGCAGTCGCTTAACCAACTGAGCCACCCAGGCGCCCAACCATGCACTTTAAAAGGAAACTCTTTATCACTACTGAAAATAGAAAGCCAGTATCAATTGCTGTAAATAGAAAGTAACCAAAAAATAAATACAATGAAAAAAAGTGTTCTAACCTTCAAGCTAGATACTTTCACCTGCTCCCCATTCTGAGCTGGAGGCCTGCACTCCCTTTGTTAAAAACAAGACACGGCAAGATAAGCACGGGTGGAGAGGTGTTAAAGGGCTTCTGGCAGCAAAACGAGACATGCTCCTGTAATAATCAGAAGTGTTGAAGAGGAACTGGAAAGAGAATAGCTTTCGTACGCAGGCGCCCGCTTTCTTGCAGATGGGTGTAGCGTGTCAAATAAACCCAAGACCAGTCGCGTTCCGCACACCGTGATCCCTCATCAGGGCGTTCTAGGGGTGCCCTGAACTCCTCCTCGGAGGAGGGGAGACTGCGCCAGTTCTGGGGGGCAGGGGGTGCAGCCCCTGGGATGCGCCCCCGGAGAGGGGTTAGGCGTGAGTAGCGCTCCCCCAGGTGACCGTCCAGGCTCCAGGGACTCCGGCCGCTTCCCCGCCCCAGCCTGGCTTCCCAGGGGAGTCTCTCACCCCCACGCGGTCCTCACACACCTGTCACACAATTCACCCGGGGCCTGGAATTTACAGTTTCCTGCTACTCCAGGCTCCTGAGTCCAAATGCTGTCCTGCGCATCCTCTCTGCCTGGGTGCTGCGCAGCCTCGGCCCTGGGAGGCGTGCAGGTGTCTTAGCACCGAAGGCTGTGAATAAGTAAACAATAAGCAGCCAGAAGTGGCATGTTTCCCACATGATACCCAGGGAAGGGTCCAATTCCCCCTACCCGTGCTCTGGGGAGAGTCCCGCCCAGCAGGCCAGAGCATCTATTATTTAATGCTTTTATTGTACCTGGCCCAGGCTAGGCACTGTTTAAGCAAGTCCAGTCCCACCCTTTATCTGTGCAGTAGAAAAAGCTGAGGGGGAGATGAGTGGAGTGAGAAGAGGAAGAGTCTGTCCAGGCCCTTTTTTTCTGCCACAGATTGGCTGTGTGACCTTGGTCAAGTGTCAGAACCTCTCTGAGCCTCAGTTGTATACCCACAAAGTTCCGTTGCCTGAGCTCAAATCCCAGCTCTGTCACTCACTAGCCAGGAGGACTTGGGCACGTGATTTATTGCTTCTTAAAATGAGGATAGGGACTGGAGCAGTACCTCTCCCTCAGGCTGCTAGGATGAGTGAATGAGATGTGTTCCTATGTGTCCCCTTGTAAATTCTCACTCTGATATGCATTCCAAGTTGTTCGGGTTCTATTTTTTCATGAGCCCTTTGTTCTATGCTGGGGACGGTACATAACCTTTCCTCCGATCATCACGAGCCCTCTTGCATCTTAGAGATCCCTGCTTTCCGGATAAGCAGCTCACGCTCCATGAGATCAGCTGACTTGCCCAGGGTCACACAGATACACAGTGGCACAACTAGAATCCATTGCCTGACCTAAAATTCTTTTCAACCAGGTCAGGATTCTTTTCTATCTATAAAGTGGAAATAATGGGGGCTCCATCAGTTAAACATCGCCTTTGGATCTTTTCATGATCCCAGGGTTCTGGGATCCAGCCCTGTGTTAGACTCCCTGCTCAGCAAGGAGTCTGCTTCTCCCACTCCCTCTGCCCCACCCCCCTCGCTCTCCCTCTCAAATAAATAAATAAAATAGAAAAAATAAAAATTAAATTAAAATAAGATGGAAGTAATTGTTCATGCCACTCAGGTCTACTGTTAGGATTAAATAAAGTCTGGGAAGAGGGTTTGATTGATGCTTGCTCTAGCTCTGGTCATCTCCACTTCTTATTCCCTGGGCATGACTACCTGAGCACAGGCCTTTCATTTTCCTAAAAGGATGCCGATAACCTCCTCTTAATCTCTGGGAGGCAGTATCATCTGATGTCCATAGGAGGGGCCGAAAGTCTAAGATCAAAATCGGAGCAGCCGGTTCCGTTCCCTCGCCTGAGGGCAGGCCTGGCTGGGTTTCTTCCATCTCCTGGGTGTTCGGTGGGTCTCAAATCTCCCACCCACCCCACAAGGACTGAGAGTACATCACCTTTTTCTTTCCTTCTTGGGGTCAGTGCAAAACTCCACACAATCATATCTGACATCTCCAGCTTTGAACTTGAGGGAGAGGGAGACCTTATGGTTATTTGGCTATCGTGAAGTCAGTTTCTCCCTGCCTCCAACAAATGGTGTGATGTGAGCAGAAGTGGCCTTGGCAACGTGGGTGCATACATCACCGTCCTATGGGTTTGTCTTGCAGAGAGCAGGCCCGGTGCACTGTCCACCATCCTGCATAATGTATGAACCCTCGGTAGGAACAGAATACCATCAGCAGTGAGTCTGACCACTGCAGGCCATGGACGTGTCCAGAGGTCTTGCCAAGGCTGACGTCTCTCTGTTGGCAGGAACAGAACAGAGGGAGGGAGTCTTTGTCACCTGAGGCCTTTCCTGGGGCTGGGGTGGGAACTGGCCTCATCTTGGGCCTTGGGATTCTGCAAAGATGGGGCAGACAAGACAACAGCCCCAAGAAGGCAACCTGACTCTACCTTAGAGTCAGCAATGATGACATTGGGGATGGCTAGCTTCCTGTCTCCTGGGTCTGAAGCTCCCTCTGAGAGGGCTGGGGGTGGCAGAGGAGGGGTGGGACTCTGTCAGTGTGGTTGAAGGTGAGAAGGGAGATTTGGTAACAGGGGACACAAACCCCGGCAATTTTGGGGGTTGCCTCGGGGTGCCAGAAACCCCTAGGGGCAGCAGTAGGGACAAGGTACATGGTGAGGGGGGGAGGACATGGACAGAAGTAGGTGTATAGTGGTACTGCTGATGTGGGAAACAAAGGCAGAAACAAACTATTAAATTTCCTATAGCTCATCGGCAAGTCCTTGAAACTGGCAGAGTGACATTCCTCTGGGGACTCAACTGCCTCGATGTTGATACTTTGCTAAGGGCAAAAGACAATCCTAGCCCACCCCCCACCCCACCCCCACCTCCCAGGATCCTGTAGGCCTACTTTAACATACAAAAATTCTTTTGGTAACTTCCTTTATCTCTAAGCCCCCCAAGATACATGTTGGCTATCATCCCCCAAGCATATGGCCCACTGATATACATCTGAAGTGTCTCATGAGTAAGGTTTTATTAGACGGTGATAAATGACCTTTTCCCAACAATAGCTAGCCCCTTCAAGGTCCTGGAAACCTTGCTTCCAAAATTCCTTAGAGACTTACGCTATCCCTAACACTCTCCCAACTTGAAAGTATATATAATAATGGGCCACTCCTCGTGACCCCGGTGCAGCTCTTTCTGCTCCCGGGTCGTGTCCCTGTGCTTTAATAAAAATCACATTTTTGCACCAAAGATGTCTCGAGAATTCTTTCTTGGCCATCAGCTTCGAACCCTAATGTTATTTCCTACATCACTACTTTCAGGGGAACATGCCCAGATGCAGTTATTGGATGAAGTCTGAGGCTTTGGTGTGCTTACATGAGTGTACAGAGTGCAGCCATGTATGTGTAGATCCCAAAAGGGCAGGAATGCAGGTGGGAGGTCTGAGTGGCTTGTGAGCCATGAGACCAGGGCATCTCGATAACTACCCTTCATTAGTGGATGGCATTGGATTTGATTCGTTCATAGAATCAGTGAGTACTCGCTGGAGGCCCCCAAGACCACACCAACTGCCAGGGCTTCCGATATGGGGATGAATCAGACCCAGGCACTTGTTGTCTAACCAGGGAGCCAGGCGCGGAAGGGGAGAATTCAAATACGTTGTCATCAGTGCTGGAATAGGCAGGCATATAAGGTGCCCACAGCAGCTACCACCCCCTGAGGTTGGCAGGGAGACCTCCCTGAGGCAAAACTGAGCAGAGGCTTGGAGGATGAGGGAGTTCTTCAGGGGGAAATAGGGGAAGGATGTTCTAGGCAGAGGGAACAGTATCTGCAAATGTGTGGAGCTGTGAAACCCTTTGCTCAGGAACCTTGAACAGATGGAAGACTGGAAGAATGATGGAACAGGGAACAGTCTTACTTATTTGTTTACAGATTATCTGCTCCTCCTCCCCCAGTGGAATGTGTGCCCCATGAGGACAGGAAATCTGTTTTATTCTCCCCTGGAGGCCGGGCCTAGATGAGATATGCTGTTAATGAACAAAGGGAAGATAGGACGGGCCCAGACTGGATGAGGTGGACAGTCGGCTAAGCATTTGAACTTTGTCCTTCGGAGGAACTTTGTCCTTCGGAGGTTTAAAATAGAAAAGGGACAAGATCTGAGGTGGGTGGCAGGAAATCACTTAGACAGTGACCAAAGGTTGAGGAGACCCGCCCAAGTCTTAAACTGGAGCACAGTCAATAAAAAATGAGTGGGGTAAAGTTGAGGGGGGAAAAAAAAAAGTAAAATGCTATACAATTGACAAGCTAGCTTTGATTTTTACAGCATCCCCGTAAGGCAGGAGTTTCCAGGTTTTACAGAGGAGGAAATGGATTCCGCGCGGCTCAGTGACTTGGCCAAAGTCACCCAGCACGTTGGTGGTGCAGCCCGGCGGGTCGGTGTTCCCTTTGCGGCGCCGCAGGACCCAGCACGGGATGAGGACCCGACCCGGGCAGGTGGCAGCGGGGAACTCGCCTTTTCCGTTCAGTAACGGCGGGAAAACCCAGAGGACCGCGACTAGGAGGGGCCGGCGGCCGCAGAGGATCCGGCCGGGGAAGAGCGGCGAGCGGCGGGGAGAAGGAATTTGGGTCTCGGCGGCCGCCGTAGGAGCGGCGCTCGGATCCCCATAGCAACGGCCAGACGCAGCGGGAGCTTCTGGGCGGCGGCCGATTGGACGAGCGCGGCGCGGAATCCGCGAACTGCCCGCGGCCCCGAGGGTGCAGGCGCCGGGGACCGGTCACTGGAGGGAGCCGGGGTGCGGGGACAGCCAGGGGTGTGGCCCGGTCGGGCTGGGGCCTGCGAGGGGGACGCCGCCCCGAATCCCCGGACCCCCGATCCCCACTGTCCGGACCAGGAGCCATCGTTCGGCCTCAGTTTCTCCAAGCGAGAGTTGGCGGGAGAGAGGGGGGGGGGAGTGGGCATCCCAGTCCAATGGCCCCTCTCAGCCTCTGAGACCCAGGACTTTCTCTCCTCTGCAGCTCCTGGACTGACTGGCGCTGCCCTGACCCATGGACGTGAGTCCTAGGCCCCTTTCCCTTTTCTGGAGCGGCCCCCTCAGGGCCTTAAACTCGCCTTGGAGCCCGAGCCCAGACTGGAGAGGGGGCTGTTTACCCAACAGAGACCCTTCGAGCTCAGGACCAGAGCTGTGAGAGAGTGCCCGGAATAGACTTCACACGGAGAGCACATTCCCGCTCTTTCTGGCAAGATGAGAAGCTTGCCAAGTAATCAAGGAGGCTTTAAAGGCATCCCAGGCTGAGGGAACAGCTTGGGCAGAGACTCGGGGCTGGGAGACTTCAGTCTGGCTGGAGTATAGAGGAGGAGGGAGGGAGAGGTAGGCAGGGCTAGACTGGGGCTTTGTCACTGAGATAAGAAGTTTGGACTGAGTCCGTGGGAGATACTGATGGATTGTAAGGAAGGGAGGGTTACACAACACAACTGGTGTGGAAAGGGGCAAAACTGCAGGTTGGAAGACATTTAGGGCCTGAGGGATGGTAAAGTGGGGCTGAGGAATCAGAGACAATAGGTCTGTGTGGAGAGGCATTCTGAGAGGAAGATCAACCAGTCTTGGAAAATTCTCAAATGACCAGCAGGGACCGATGGTCCTGAAAAGGGGGTGATTGGGAGAAGTCACGTTTGGGGAACAGGATAGTGTAGTCCTAACGACTCTCTCCCCGCCATCTGATGGCTGTTCCTCCTCTCATCCGAGCCACGTCCAGGTGTCCGTCCTGGTATTTTTGTGCTCCCCGCAGCCCCTCCCACCTTCTTGTCACCCCTTCCTCCTGTGCTTGTGCAGGCCTCCTCTAGCCCGTGGAATCCCACCCCGGCTCCCGTCAGCAGTCCTTCCCTGCTGCTCCCCATCCCTGCCATCGTGTTCATCGCTGTGGGCATCTATTTGTTGCTGCTCGGCGTAGTGCTGCTGACTAGGCACTGCCTACTGGTGAGGAGCCTGGTGGAGGCCGAAGGGTGGGCTCCGGGGAAGAGGAAGCGGTCAGTCAGTGCCCTCAGCAGCAGGCCCTTACCCTGAGGCTCCTTTGCCATTTAGCCACCGCATCCATCCCTCCGTGCCATGTCCCCCCCACCTCCTCCCCCCACCATCTGGCCCGGATCCTGCCCCTTTGCATCTCCTAGGCCCAGGGTGGCTGCACCGACTGCAGCTCCCCCTGCAGGAAGCAAGGTGCCTCCAGGCCCCAGGACTGTTGCTGGACCTGTGCAGAAGCCTGCGACTTCCCTCTGCCTAGCCCAGCCCACTGCCTGGACGCCTGCTGCCCCCAGCCCACAGAAGCGGTGAGTTCCCGTCCCAGCCCTGACACCCTGAGCCCTGACCTGGGCCCTCTCTGGGCATTTCTTTTGTTGGTGCTGTTCAACAACATGGATTGCTGAGCACTGACTCTGGGGAGACTGGGTCAGTTGGAGACAGCCAAAGAAAGACATCATAAACAGCACATCGCATACTTTCTGGTGCTGAAAGCTACTTGGAGGACAGAAAACAGGGTGGCAGCTGGGGACAGGTGTGTAACCTGGAGGGCACACTGGCTTCTGAAAATGGTGGTTAAAAGAAAAAACAACCCGACACAGAGCTCCTTCTGTTCACTGAGTGAGTACGACGCCCCAGATTCTGTGCCACTTTATTGACATTATCGTTTACTCAACAACCCCGAGAGCTGGGTATTTTTGAAAACCTAGATATATATAGTTCTGAGTATGAAAAGCATTGATTACAAAGCGTGCATGTAGAAATGCAAAGAAGGCACCAGTCAGCGTGTAAACCAGCTCTATAACCAAGGCTGCTATGTTTTGTTTGCGCCCTCATATACTGGTAGACTGTTGTCACTGCTGTGTTATCTACCAGTATTTGGCAAAGATGGGGTCATGCCACAGATACTCTTTCATCACTTCTGCTACCTGCCCTTTTTGACTTGACATCACACCTTGACCTCCTCTCCGTGCCTGTGCATGTAGAGGGGGAAGTATTTCTGTCCTTTTGCAGGGAGAGGAGTTGGCTGAGGGAGATTCAGTCGCTTCTACAATGTTACATAGTAGAGTGGTGCACAGTAAATTGCTCCACTGTGTGTCGAAATAGAATCCTCAGGGAGAAGCCTGGCTCCTGGAGGGCAGGCCATTTTCGCTTTTGCGGGTTGAAAGATGGTGAATGTAATTGACCACCTTCCTATTTGGGGCTCGGATTTAGACAGCGAAGCTCTTGCCCTTGAAGTGGTGACCTTCCCCCCAGGAGGAAAGCAGGAGGATGAAAGACAAGCAAATTCATAACTTGGGCTGACCATAGTTGGTCAAATTCCCGGGAGATGTTTTGAGTTTTGAAGGAAATTATGGGGCAAGGGGCTCTCCTCTTACAAAAAAATCTGCTTCTGGTTTCCTAGGGGTAGCTGGGAAAGGGAGCCCAGGACTGAGGCTAAGGGGGCAAAGGGGAAAAAGAAGATGGCCCTGGGTCCTAAAAACTCCCTATTTCATAGGAAATGCTCAATTACGAAGCGATTTCTGGTCCCCTGTTGGGGGTACGCTGCTCCTTGCCCCTTCTGTCAGTCTGGGCCTCTCCTCCTCGGTCAGGGTGAGGTGCAGGGAATTCCAGACCTGGACATATATTTTATATATATATATCAGACCTCAGGGTCTGATCCACCCGGCTTCTGCCGGAGCCAGGAAGGATTCTAGAATGGCCACAGGGCAGGGCAGGATCCCATTCTGTCCTTGAGCTGTCTTGGCACAAGGTACAGTAAAGTGCCTGTTCTTCAGTTTCTTTGTAGTAACAGTAACAACCACAAATATGACAAAGCTCTTGCCTACTTTACAGCTGTTAGAAACAGCCTTCCAGAGGCTGGAGTGACTTACCTGAGGCCCAGGCCGGGACACAAACCCAGATTTCTCTTCCTCTCTGGGGGAGACACCTGCCTGCTCTGGGCTTTCACCAAGCATGTGGCAAAGATCTCATTCACTCATTCACCCATTCCTTCACCTACTAAAGATCTGTGCAGTTGAGGCACTGTGCCAGGCCCTGGGGGCTCTGCGAAAGAAGCTGGACTGGGTCCCAACCCACACGGGGCTTCCACTGCAGCAAAGGACAGAGAGGAGGAAGTAGGCAGTTACGTTAGAGCATGAGAAACAAAGTGATACATAGCGCGATGGTTGGTTCTCAGCCCTGTGTGTGATCAGAAGTGCGGATGGGACAGACACAAAGCCAGGCATCCGGGCCCCATACCCAGTAGGTCTGGCCGGGGCAGGGGCCGGAGAGCTGTAGCAAGAATCGCTGCCTTTTCTGGAGTGCTCACCACGTACTAGGCATCAGGCTCAGCTCCTTCCCCTGATGCCCCACCGTGAGCCTCTGAAGCAGGCATTCTGTTGGTTTCAGAGATGACCGAACTGAGGTTCAAAACATGAGTGAGCCAAACCTGGGCCTGAATTTGATTCAAATCTGGGCCTGAGCTCTGGACACCAGAGACGGCGGGCCATCACAAAATCACAGGGAAAGGAATCGAAGCCGAAGCTGCAGAGCCTAGAGAGACACAAGGGTTAACAGGCTTGTGGCATTCTTGTTTATGTACCAAAGTAGCAGATTCCTTCCAGAAGCCACATGGCTGCTTGTGAGAGTCCAGAAATCCATTAGACAGTTATTAATGACTAGCTCTAAATCCTTACAGTGGACAGAGCCCAGAAATGCTTTCAATACCCTCTCCTTCGAGGTGAGGGTGGCAGAGCCTCTCTCAGCCACCAGTGCTGCGCACAGAATGACAGTGTGGTCCTCCAAAACCTCACAGAGCCCACTTCATCCCAAACTGGGACTCCCCAGAGACGCCCCAAACCACTCCTTCGTCAGATACAAGGAAACCGCTTCACTCCCCCTTCCGCCATGACGCCTGTAGCCTCCTCCTCGAGAGACAGTCCTGCTGACAGCAGCGCCAGCCCAGGTCAGACCCCTGTCCCTGCAGCCAGCAGATCCCCTCCCCTCACTGGAGCCCCTAGTGATATCTGATCTCACCAGTCATCTGACAGCGCACCCCCAAACCTCAGCTGTTTCAAAGGTCATTCCCCTATTTCTGGCTTGGCCTGGCATCTGATTGAGGTGTGCAACTGGGACTGTCAGCTAGCTCGGCCTCAGGCCTCAAGGAGCCAATCTCCTGGCACGTCCGGGGTGTGTCCCACTCCAGCCACTTGGCCTGACTCCAGCCCATGCGTGAAGCAGTAGCAGATCACCCCTGTCACCAGGCAGGAGAGGAGTAGGCTGAAATAGACCAGTTCTCCCTTCCTGTCACAAGGGACAGACCCTTCTTTCCCCCCGGGGAGCTAAGGAGTCCTCTTCTTTCTTCTTTGCCCAAAGAGGGGAAAATGGTTTGATTCATCCACTCACTCGACATTCATTTGTATCTCACATACCTACCGAGGATGAGTCCTTGTGCTAGCTCACCGGTGACATGAGATGAACTGTCCCTGTCCCCGCGGACCCAGAAAGAAGCTGATAGTTCTGGCTCGGGGGGGCAGTGGAGTCAAGGGGCCTCTCCCTCTCTGAGCCTCTATTTCCTCTTTTGTGGAGAGGCCCCCTGCCCAAGGTTTGATAAATAAAAGAGAGAGGACTCTTGAAAACATTAAAAAAAAAAATCTGCCAATTACCATTTTCAAAGACAACTGGGAGATTTTTCAGAATCATGCATGAATACAGCCTTGCAGGGAGTAGGTGCTCAGAAATAATGAAAGAGGTCCTGCAGTTTGGTCTCATGCCAAGGAAGAAAACAGAACCAAGTTCTTTTTATCATAGAAGGAAAACGTGTGTGTGCTCTCCCTCGTCTCCGTACTTGGAACTGAAGGAGGCCACAAGGATATAGTAGAACCAACTTTAAGCTGAACATCAGGACTTCATGGAACAGGGCTACTTGATCTCTCAGTCTCCTTGCCTATAAAATGGGAAGAAGGAAAGAACCCCCTGAATAATTTCTTCCAGCTCCTGAGCTCAGTTGTTTGGAACGCCGCCTCTTTGCTGATTTCTCAACAGCACAGGGAATTGATTTGTTCTCAAGAAATGGTAGATGGTACCCTCTGTTCCACTGGGCAAATGTGGCTTCCCAGGCCTCTCTGTTCCCTTCTCCCCGGAGAGGGAAACAGCTTAGGGGACTGGTCGCCCTTCCTCCTGCCCCTCTCCCTCACCCCTCTCTCCTCTCCCTCAGGGTTGGGCCCCTAGCTGTCCCCGCTGCTGTCCGCTCTGTGACTGTGCCTGTGCTTGCCAGCCTCCCGACTGCCAGAGCCTCAACTGTCTCTGCTTCCAGATCAAGCTCCGATGAGGCCCCGGAGTCCCTGCCCCTTGGGGAGTGGCCAGCCCCCGGGGCCCACATGCCCCGCTCCCTGCCCCGCTCCCTGACGGGGCCTCTAGGCCCCTGGAACCACAAATGGCCTGCCCAGCTCATCGGCCTGGGAACCAGCGGCGGAGAGCCTGGCTCCCTGCAGAGCAGGACTCAGAGAGCCCCTGGCCATTTGGACTGCAGCCCCTTTGGAGGGCCAGGAGGGAGAGGGGCTAGTGCTCTGGCAGGTCACCCTGCCCACCTCTCCCTCTTGCCACATAAACTATTATAATTGAAGGTGAGGGTGGGAGACACTGCTCACCACAGACCACCTCATGGGACGAACTTGGGCCTGGAGTATCAGGATATAGGGGTACCACAGCCACACAGTGTCCATGGACTCTCGGTTATCTTGAGGTGAGCATCGCATCTGCATCTGCATCTGCTCTCCCGCCAAAGGCATGGTCTCCCCAGGATCACAAGAGCCATCATCAGGGCCCAGAGGGGAGGGAGGATAGAGAAGGAGGCAGGGAGGGCCCCAGATCCGAGTCTCCTTTCCTCTTCTCCCTCCCCATAGATTCTTGTGCGAAGACTGATTTCTCTTGACAACCTCTGAGGGCTTCAGACTGGATTTCCAAGGAAATGTCCTCCAAAGTACCGGTGAGTGGGCAGGGCCCGCCCCTGCCCCCCAACTAGGGCAGGCCCAAGCCTTCCTCCCCCTTCCCTCACTGTAGGCCCCACGCTGGCATGAATGTCAGGGGCTTCAGGTTTCCCTAAATATAGGTCGCTGCCAGCGGATCCGTGGCAAGGAAAGGGCAGGGGTCACCGGAGGAGTTGCGGACATGGGCTGGGGGGAGGGCGGGAGCTGCCTTATAACCCAGCCCGGGAGCGGCCAGGCTCACTCGCTGCTGACCAGGCTCTGCCCGCTCCTTCTGCCTCCTCGCAGGTAGGCGCCCACGGGACGCAGCGCGGGGGGGGGGGGGGGGGGGGGGGGCAGGGGGGGCCGGAGGGGGTGGGGGGGTTCAGCTGGGGGCTGACCAGCTAGGGACAGGTTTGATTTGGAGGGGGAAGTCAGGTCCCAGGGAGACGTTTTCGCGGGGCTTCTGGCGCCGCATCCCCAGACTTGCTGGGACGAGCGGTGGCTGCTGCAGGACGGTCGGCGCCGGTCCGGGGCGGAGAGCGCCTGCGCACGCGCGGCGAGGCTGGCCCGCCGGACCCAGAGCCCCTGAGCCCGACGGGCGCGGCCGGGGCGCCGACACCCGCGCGGGCGGGCCTCCCGGAACCGCTGCCCCGCCGCCCTCTCGGGCTCCTCCCAGTGCAGCCGCTCTTCCGCGCGGGCGGGTGACCCAGGGAGGGGTGGCCCCGCGCCCCTGAGCCCGCAAGGGGAGTCTGCGGGCGAGGCCGGCCGACGCCCGACCTCCGGGTGTGCCACAGCGTGACACACGCGGCCATCAGCGCCGGCCGGAAGCTGGGGCTGCCCCGGGCCGCCCGGCGGGGGCTGGGCGGGGAGGCTGAGCCTCCGTCTTTTCAGGCTCTTGTACCCGCTTCCCCCCTCCCCATCTCCTCCGGTGCCCCAAATCGGCTGAGTCACAGCGCCCCAGAACGCGCCAACTGGGGGGGGAGGGAGAGGGAGGGGAGGGCCCCGGCGACCCGCAGGATGTGGCCCGAGTCACGTCCTAGGGGGCCGGGGGAGGGATCGTGTTCTCGCCGCGCTGTCCCCGCCCAAGCGCCGCCTCCGGGCTTCGCCTTTCGGGGGCGGCCTCTCCACTAATCCTCGCCTGCAATTGGACGGCAGGGCGCCTCCCGCCCCCTTCAAGGGAAGAAACCCGGCGGAGGCTGGCGCCGTGCCTTTATAAAGCCCGGCACCACCTCCCTCCTGCCCGCCCCCTGCGCCGCCCCCTCCGGAGCTTAATAGGCTGCGTTCCTGCTGGAACGCGTCGCAGAACCAGGGTCCTGGTAACGACTGCCGCGTTCGCTCAGTCTGCTCGCCGGCCCGCCGCCCTCCACCGCCGCACCCCGCAAACCCGCCCCCTCCCGTGCCAGGTGAGCGCCCCTCGCCATGTGCGAAGGTCAGGGACCGTGGAGAAGGATCCTGGGGGCCGTCGGCAGCCGGACCCCCCCCTCCCCCAACCCCGGTCCCAGCATCTCCCGCGTCCCACTACCACCCACACATATGCTCTCAGCCCGGATTCCGCAACCCTCTCCAGCTTGAGCTCGGTTTGCTGCGCAATGCAGCGGCTCCGCGCGCTGCGTCATGGCGAGGGAGGAAGCAGGACGAGATGAAGGGCCGTTCTCTCTCTCCTTTACTTGCCGGGACCCCAGGTGCAAAGCATTACGGCCCCTTTGCCTCTGCGGGGATCCTAAGAGGCAGCAAAGGGATGGGGGCCAGCTCATATAACTGCCTCAGGGTTCCGGAAAGCGTGGTTGGGCCCTGCCCTGGGAGGTGGGCGCCCCCGGCGAGGAGGGGAAACCCCTTGGAGGCGCCTGATGCCCAGTTAACACTTTCCGTGTCTTTCCTTATTGGGTGACCTTGATGGTGAGCTTGGAACAGCTGCAGCCGTGCGAGCAGACAGGAGCATTTTCAGGGGAAGGGGTGGGGCGCTTGCCTCTCTACAATTCTCTCACCCTGTATGAGCAGTGAGATCGGCAAACCTTAACCCATTTCCGCCACCCCGGCCTGGGCTTCCTCTGCTGCCCGTTCCTGGGCTTCTGATTACCCTCCTACCCTTTCTTCCAACACCCTTTTCCGAACGCCCTCCCCCAACCCTGGTGGAGAAGCTTGACCTTGGGATGTCCTTGAGGCTTTGGAGCCTGGGCCAGCCCTGGGACTTTGGGTGGATTGGAAGGCCCTGGCAGTCAGAAGATCTGGGTTCTAATCTCAGCTCTGGCTCTTGTGCTGTGTGACTTGAATCACAGAACTTTCCCTTCTCCGGGTCCTTGGGTTGGGCCCTCTGCCTACATACCCCCTCTAAATTCTAAATTACTCCGGTTCGGTTCTGCTTCTAGGCAAGGTGACCCCATGGCAGAGCGCAAGCCAGAAGGGTCCGGCTTCTACATGACCCGTCTGTCCATGGCTCTGGCCTATTGCATTGCCCCAGATGCCAGTACGCCACCCCACCCACAGCTGGGAAACACCCAGCAACAGACAGTGTTAGGAAAGGTACAGGAGGCAGGCCTAGTATAGGGAAGTTGGGTGTAGGGGAGGGCTGGGGACAGGAAGTGGCCAGATACCCACCGGTATGGAGCAGGGGAGGTAGGGAACCTTTATCCCAACCTCCAGGCAAGGGGCCCTGCTAGTTGGAAGACCCACAGTGAGCCCCCGCTAACCAGTCCTCCCCTGTCTGCCCCCTTTGCCCAGGAACTGACCGGCACCATGCCCTACCAATACCCAGCGCTGACCCCGGAGCAGAAGAAGGAGCTTTCCGACATCGCTCACCGCATCGTGGCTCCGGGCAAGGGCATCCTGGCTGCAGATGAGTCCACTGGTACGGGCAAGACACCGTAGGAGGAGAGCCTAGGGTCAAGGGTGACTGGCTGACCCCCTTATTTCTGTATGCTGCCCTCTCCCAGGGAGCATCGCCAAGCGGCTGCAGTCCATCGGCACTGAGAACACAGAGGAGAACCGGCGCTTCTACCGACAGCTGCTGCTGACCGCCGACGACCGCGTGAACCCCTGCATCGGGGGCGTCATCCTCTTCCACGAGACGCTCTACCAGAAGACAGATGATGGGCGTCCCTTCCCCCAAGTTATCAAATCCAAGGGCGGTGTTGTGGGCATCAAGGTGAGGGGGCGGGGTCTCAGGATGTGAGAGGTGAGCAAGCACTCTGGGAGAGAAGGCCAGAGTAGTAGGCTGGCGATGGATGTTGGGTTGGGAGTCTGGAGACTTGGGTGAGGTCTGCCCCACATCACCTCCAAAGCATATGTGAGGAAAGCTAGAAACGTAGGAGACCCGCTTGGCCTGTTTTTAATATTTCATTTTTAAGTAATTCCCACACCCAACCTGGGGCTTGAACTCACAACCAGCCCTGAGATCAAGAGTCACAGGCTCCACCGACTGAGCCAGCCAGGCGCCCTTGCCTGGCGTTTTTAATCCTTGTAATTCTCAGAGCACGGTATTCCCTTGATCGTACAGAGAAAAAAACCAGAAACTCAAGGCAGTGATGTGTGCGGCTCAGCGAGTTAGTAAGTGCTAGGAGCCCAGGCTCTGTCCAGTCACATCCCCATGTATTTTGCCTCCTAGGATCAGGTAGTGTAACTACGTGAAAACGTTTGCAAAGCGAGATACCATTTGAGGGATTAAGGAAAGTTGAGGGCAGAGTGGAGTACTAGAGGTCCCTTCCCCCACCTTATGTTGTTGCCCACCCCACCCCCCCACAGGTGGACAAGGGCGTGGTACCCCTGGCAGGAACAAATGGCGAGACTACCACCCAAGGTGAGAACTGCTCTCTGCTCCCTGCCCTCCAGACCTACCCCTCCGGGTGCCACCCGCCCCCTCCTCCGCCATGTTCTGACTCTTCTACTCCCCATCCAGGGCTGGATGGGCTGTCTGAGCGCTGTGCCCAATACAAGAAGGATGGAGCTGACTTTGCCAAGTGGCGCTGCGTCCTGAAGATTGGGGAACACACCCCCTCAGCCCTTGCCATCATGGAAAATGCCAACGTTCTGGCCCGTTACGCCAGCATCTGCCAGCAGGTGGGCCGATGGGTCCCCAACAGGCCACCTCCCACCTCCTTTGGTTCCAGAGTATCAGCTAGCCTGCCACCCATCTGTCAGGATACATACCCCGCCCCCCCCCCCCCCCCCAGCAGCTGTTCTGGATCCTCACCAAGCGTCCGGCTTGGGCCCATGGAGGATACTCGAGGGCTCTCTGAACAGAGGAGCAGAAGAGGGATTATGTGGGTGGCTTGGAGGACATGCCTGTCTCTTGCAGTCCGCTGAGGGCTATGAAGCCATGAGTCTCTGTCATCGTGGACAGAAGATCTCGGCTGATGGCTGTGGAGAGCTGTAGGTGGGCTCTAGGTTAGGAGGCCTCATGGCTACCCTGTCCCTCATCCCACAGAATGGCATCGTGCCCATCGTGGAGCCTGAGATCCTCCCTGATGGGGACCATGACTTGAAGCGCTGTCAGTATGTAACCGAGAAGGTAAGGTACCTGCCTGCCTGGACAGTGTGGTGGCTAGGCAGCTGGGCCGGGGGCCTTGGGGCTGACCCATCCCCACCCTGCCCCCAACTCCACCCCAATCCACCTTGGCCCTGCTCTGCTGTAGGTGCTGGCTGCCGTCTACAAGGCTCTGAGTGACCACCACATCTACCTGGAAGGCACTTTGCTGAAGCCCAACATGGTAACCCCAGGCCACGCCTGCACCCAGAAATATTCTCACGAGGAAATCGCCATGGCAACTGTCACAGCCCTGCGCCGCACAGTGCCCCCCGCTGTCACTGGTGAGACCCACATCCTCCTCTTGATCTCTGGGAGGTAGATGAACTGCACCCGTAATCTTTAAGCCCATTTGGTCAGATTTTCAGGTCAGTTTCTAGAGGCTGCTACCAATCCCCAGGTCTTTGCCCACAGCCACTTACCCCACTTTACCCCTTGTTCTACAGGGATCACTTTCCTATCTGGAGGCCAGAGTGAGGAGGAGGCATCCATCAACCTCAAC